AGCAGAGTACCTGGCGCATCGTTTATGTTGAATAATAATAATAACGTAGAAAACCTCTGCACAGCAGAGTGGTATCTTTTTAAGGCTAGAATTCAAAGTTTATTTTCCCCTTCTTTGATGAAAAATAATGATATTAAGGTACTTATTCCAATATCTGTTTCAGCAAATGAATCAGAGGCTGAGTCTCGGTGTGAATAAATCATAGAAAAGGTCAGCATCAAACACTTTTGATCTTCTTCCATTACCAAACACCAATTAATGCTCTGAAGTTAAACATGACCACGTGTCATTTTGTTGTAGCTAAGTGATCACGGGGTGTGAAGGAAATAAAAGAACTCAGCTTAGAAAGTGAATAGAAAATGAGAATATTGTATTCAAGAATAATCCCGCAGAGTTTACACTTCATTATTCTACCAAATGCAGATTTAAAATGTACATTTACTAAAACAATTTTTTTCAACACAGTCTGCAATCTCAGACTTCAAGGCATGAATATTTTAGGTTTATTAGCATAAACTGAATACCAGCATGCAAACACTGAAATGAATTTAAGGAAATTGTTAATGATTCATTACACAGAGTTATTAGATTTTTGTGTGATCTGAGCAAACGCATCAGCAAAAACAATTATGCACAGATACAATGAAGGACCACTCTCAGGGAAGAAGTCATTAGTGTAATAAAAAGGACGTTTTGCAGGGGTTCCTCCTGTACTTTCTTTGACTCGATCACAAACAGCTGTTGCCATCTGCCAGGGAGAGCCCTTGGCAGAGATACTTAACAAGCCTCTGCCAAGCCCTCATGTGTTGAGAATGTCTACCCCCAGAACTCTCGGAGACTGCATATTGAGAAGTAGCACATGAATCTCCAGGGAGACTGGTCTATCTCATTCTTAAGGGATTGTAGGAGAAAAATAAAACAAGATAAGCATGAAAATTATCTTCATGGGAAATTGCTTTTGTGCCTTCTGCTTCTGTCTCTTTGAAACTTGCAAAGGGTGTGTGCTTTCCCTCACAGTGGACTCATTGTTCAAACTTATTACATTGTATCATACCTGCTTTTTAATGTGTCTTTGAAGGGTTTCAAGTGCTTGTAGCAAGACATCATCATTTTTGTACCCTTAGGACTTGGCACAGAACACTCATAAATGATGAATGAGTAAATGAATGAATAAAAAAGTCAGTTGGTCCAGCTCACCATGACTGGTGTAACAGACCCTAAGATAGTTAAGAATTTAAAATTCACAGGGATGTCTTCATGAGAACTGTACCTCGGAACCACCGAACCTTTCTATCATGGCTTAGCCTTCCTAGAATAGATAGGGTCTGAGGCAGCAGGAAATGAAGCAATCATGTGTAGACACTGAATGCTCGAGCCATGTGACATAGACCAGATCTACACCACCACCACTACCACCCCCACCCAAAGAAGTTAGGCAGTCTTCCAGATTAATGAAACAGAAAAAGACGTTTGCCAGGAATTTCCAGATAACTCCGGCAAAGTGTGTTCCTTTTTCGGCTTGAATTAGTAGTATAATTGCCTCAGTCCTCCGTTTGTCTATTCATGTTCAGACATAGCTTCAGATAAAATAATTTGAAGCAGAGAGTCCTAGGGGGATAAAAGAGAAGGAGCCCAGAGACAAAGGAGGAACCTGCAAAATTAGCTCAACTATGTCACAGAACAGCTTGAATGCATCCAGGTGGCAGTCTGGAAATTATGAATCGAAACTGGATCTACACAAATGATTAGGAAATGCTTATTTGAATTTTACAAATAAGAATGATAGCTATTTTCACAACACGAAGCATTTGACTTTGCCTTCATGTATTCGTATTTCAAAAGCATCTCTCTCAATGATGACTACCAAGAGGCTTTCCTATAAGAATTCAGTCTGGAAAGCTTAAAAGAAATAGTGGTGAAGATGAAATGTTTGTAAAAACTGAATGTAAGTAAGAATATGGTCTCCCAAGAAATGATTTTGAATAATAAAAAAATCAAATTAAGTATAGTAGAGTCTCACGATGACGTTATCTCTAAAGTCGTGACTCTGAGATCATGTTAGAGATGGAACGGTGTATGACGAGTGCCTTCTGGGGCTCCTGTTACCAGTCTGTGTTGTATTTTATCCAAGACAACTCAACTGCTAACAAACTCCAGATTATGACTGATCACAGCAGAGTTCTAAAATCTGATAGAAAAATAAACAAGCACCACATAAACTAAACTAAAATAATCTGAAAAACCTTTGTAAACTGCAAAGCAACATGCAAATCTGAGCACAGAAGGCTCATCGGAGTTTTTTTTTTTTTCTTTTAATAAAACAACGTGACTAATTTTGAGAACAAAACCTCATTAAATCTTTTAACCTGATTTTCTTTTTTAATTATTGGAAGTGTATCTATTTTCTGGAACTAGATTTTATTTATTTATTTTTTTTCCTGAAACCAGATTTCTCCCTTCTGGGATTGGATTTCCCAGAGACTACTGAGATGCATCCGCTCTGGAGCTGAGTCAAAGGAAGATGGGATTAGTCTACCTGCGATAAAGGAATTTACTGTAGAAAACACAGAACAGGGGAAAAAAAAGGTGAAAGGAAAGCAAATCAATATCACTGGGGACTTTTGAGTACTAGTAGTTAAAATTGTAGTTAAGGTCCCCCTTGCTTACTTGGAATTCTATTCTGGGAACTTGAAAAGAATGCACTGACTTCCTTTGAGTCAGACTTGGGATATAAAATGAAATTATTTTGTTGTAGTAAGCTAAGTGACCTGCAAAACAATTTTTTCCCCATAGACTTACTCTTTATTCTCCAGACCTAATAGTTTTAAAATGATATGTAAAGCTGATATAAATTAAAAAAAAAAAAAACCTAAATTCTTGTGCATTTTAAAAATAGTCTTCAGGAGACACAAGACTGTAGTAAATGACATTATAAACCAAATTTTCCCCAAAATAATTTTTGCTTTAATGGTCTTATTTGTTCTTTAGGAACTGCATTTTTTTTCTTTCAGAGTTTACTGCTCTGAGAGGAAAAAGTATGCTTTTAAAGGTCTCATCGGTTTAAATAATTTTAATATTAAATTCTTTTGGAAAGTTTGCCTGCAAATATTTTGTGTCTCCCATCAGTTTAAAAAAAAAAAGTGAGCATGTCCCCAGTTGATTTATATTAAAACATTTATTTAAAAATAGATAATTTAAAGATGTTCTAATGAAAGTATTTGATCTTATGAAGAGATAATTAACTCTGTGTCGAGGATATTTTTTATAATTATCTTTGATGGACTTAAGAATAACACATCCCATTCAGCCATTGCTTTATTATTTGTTACTGTTTTCACTATGTTCTCGGGCTTTCATCACTTCATAAATTGCTTTTAGATGCCTATGTTGCTACCCTGAGTCCCATCTGGGAGATTCTATACTTTGAACACATTATGATGCAGTTTGTAGCAATTTTGTCTCAGTAGAGATCAGTTTTTCCTACTTACTATCTAGTCAAATTCAATTTGAATGAAATTTAGTGGGTTAATCAAATTCTCCTGATAAAAACTTTGTAGATTTTTTTTATAAAATGAGAGGTATATTTTTATACACTTAAATTTCTTTATTCAGAAATTTGGGTCACAATATTGCTTTAGTAAGGTATACTTGGGAATGAATATCTGTTCTCACTCTTACCAGTTTCACTTTCTTTTAGATTTTTTAAAGAAACAAGAAGATCAAAGGACTCAACACGGTATTGAAACTGGTGCTCTAGTTCCCAAAATACTCTTTAAGATGGGGATTAAGAATGACCAGAATTGGAAACCTCCTACCTTTTAGTTGTTGTTGTTGTCATTTAAAATACTTTAAACTATGCTTAATAAAATAAATTCACTGAAAAATGTTTAAATAAATAGATGTTATATTGTTACCACAATAAGAAATGGTATGGGGAAAATTATATTTCAAAATGATTCTGAGTAATCTCAGACACACACACACACACACACACAACACACAACACACACACACACCTATACACACACACACACACATCACCCATGACTTTTTCCCCAAAGCCTAAGAGCCTATAGTAGTTTTGTGGTCCCACAGTTCAGAGTAATCTTGGGAAGTACAGAAGATTGGAATGAGATCTTCCAGTCACATATGATTTAACCCAAACATGGTCCAACAATGTACACTCTACTCCTGCAATGAAAATTTATATGCATATATTTAAAAATCAAATGACAACTTTTAGAAACAGGAAGTCATTACAATGTGATTCACATACAAGATTTGCTTTGCTTTCTGTGGATAGCACAAAGCGGGGGGGTGTATTCTATTTTTGACCATATTTCTGATTAAGTTTATTTGGTCATACTTAAGGACAATTCAATTAATATTTTTCAACGCTTAGCCCCTTTTATGTAACGGATTCTCTTCCCTCTCAAGTTTTAGCCACAGCCAAATGAGGATGAGGCCTTCCTTAGCTGCTACTCTCATAATGAAAGGAAGAAAGTACGTTCTATCAATGGTCAAATGTGCCTATTCTTAGGTTTTATTCTAATTTAATAACATTAAAATTAATCTTCTCCACTCTTAAGGAAAGTGAAAATTTTAGAGGAGGAATTGGCGAAAAGATTTATGTGGGTACTTAATTGTTTATTTATTGATGTCTGTCGCCGCTCCTAGGGCTATAAATCAGAATAGATAGGGCCTGGTGCTTTGTGACAGTGACCCAGCATTTGGAAATCTGGAATGGGTCACTTCAGAGCATAGGTGTTACCCAACTGCTTATGGTAAGCAACATGGCAGGGGGGAAGGGAAACCATCTTTCTAAGGGTGGATGGTCTGTTTCATCAGACCCTTGCTACAGCTAGTTTTCTAATTATTACACCAACTTCGTTTCTAAAGGACAAAGTATCTCCCTCCCTTGTTGCTCAGTCATCTCTGCCGATTTAAGAAGAGATGATCAAGAGGGCCATCTCTGTTCCTGGGTTTCAGCTGATTCTTACCTTCCTGCCCACCTCCACCCCACACCCCCCCCACCCCCGCTCACTTCCTGTTCGAAGACTGCTGGCTGCGGGCACCTCACTGCTGACTTCCGCAGGCGACCTCAGCCAACTGTCCCTGGCAAGGCCTAATGCCCTTGGAGGTGCCGGTCCGAGGCCGCTGGGGTCTTGACCTTCCCCTACCGAGCTTCAAAAACACCTTCCTCTACAGTCTTCGCAAACCTCAGACACTCAAGGATCCGCGGCACTGCGTTCTCCCTCTGAAAGTCTTTTCAGGATTTGAGTACATTTCGCAGAGGGAAGTAAAATAAAGAAAGCTAGTTTGGAGCAACCAACTGGAGATCAGAAACCAAAAGCATGTCTGCACTGGGAAGATTCTAGCCACTGACAACAGCCGAACTCTGAATTCTCAACAGTTCTTGAGTAAATGGTGAAGAGAAAGGTGGTAAAGATTAGTCATTTCTGACCATAAAGTAGGTGTTCATTTTATTGGCCGCCAGATACTTCTATAATTCTTTCTCCTTCTTTCTTCCTCCACACTTCTGTTCAAGAGCCAAGGCACCAGAGAAAAGGAGACGGAGTGGGGAAGGGCAGAGGCCAGCGCTTTGGGTGAAAATGCTAGAGTTTCACATTGTCTGCCCCTGTCAGCTTCCTGTGCTTCTGCTGTCGTCCCCTACAAACTTCTCTATTTTTACTGTCAGGCTGAATGAACTGGAACATTCTCTGAAGGATCTTTGCCTACTTCACAGGATCGCTCTTAATAGACAACGACTTCATCACCATTAAGAGAAAAAATGGTGGTAAAATGATCAGGCTTTTTACATATTCTCCTTAATTTAAACTATATATACTTTCCTTAATTTAAATTTCATCAGCATGAGGGACTTCATAACACCTCTTCCAGTTTCCTCCCCAGATTTCATCTGATTTTGTAGTTGCTGTTGTTCATCAAAACAGAAGAAGATCATCCTCTATGTTCATTATAAAAAAATGGTAGCCTATTTATAGCCGAAAATTGTTGCCCTGTAGAAAAATGGGGAGAGGCTATCATCTTGTGCCAAGGCTCCGTGACCAGGCAGGAGACGATGCTGTGCCCAGTGATTCCAAGGACTACATGATAGGGTACATCTCTCCGTCTAATTATCCTCATTCATTAGCTGTTAATTCAGTCAGGAATTTTTGACAGAAAACCAACACATCAGAGATAAAATGGAATTCATTAATTCTGGTCCTTTAAGCCTAAAATATTAACATAGCAACCAATCTGATGGAGGGGGACCGTGTTTGGGGGGAGAGGCTAGTATCACAGCTGCACAATTGCGTGTTGTAATCACGGCTGTTATCTCGTGTGCTTTATATTCAGTAGTTCTCTGATAGTCTCTGTGCTGAGCACTGCATATTGATTTGGCGAAAAGTAAATGAGTTTCTGAATACATGAGGCCTTTCTGGTATACTTAGAACAATTCACTTCCCTTTTTTCCTCCTCTGATTTATTTTCTCACTGCCAAGGTCACGTGACTCGCTTATTTTTAACTTCTTTATTACATAATTTAACATGCAGCCTATTTGATGGGCCTAACATGCAAAAAAAAAAAAATTAAGTTAAATTAGCAATGAATTTCTTCTTCATAATAGCCTGATTCAAAACTCACATTCAAATGTTCTGACATGGTATACAGGATATTTATGTAAATCATACTTCTCAGACATCTAAAAGGTACAGGGGAGCAGTGATTATGTTAGAAAAGCATTTGATTCAAATATGAAGCCTTTCAGTTGTTGGAAACCTCAGTGTTCTCTGAGAAGAAGAGTTCAGGTTGTAGATAGCCCCGGAGACTCTGAAGGTTACAGCTGCCTGCCATTCATGTCTCTGGGAGGGCTCTGTCCCCCTGAGGCTGGGTGGTGGGAAGTGTAGGCTTTCATGAGGGCAACTGGGCTGCTCGCCCTTCATGAAGAAGAGAGCAAGAGCACCTTTCTTCGGGACAGTGTTAGAGTCCCCTCCCTCCATCACTGGGCTCCATTGGAGCCCCCCTCTCCAATCTGGGAGGACACAGTGAGCTGGGGAACATCATCCAGCTTAAAAAGAGCACCCTAAGGGCTAAATTCTCTCCTCCGATGTGATAGGTAACTGCCATTTATTGAGTTCCAACTGCCCCAGGCATAATTCTGGATACTAATCTTTCAACAAACCTGCAAGATTATTTCATTATTATTCCCCTGTTAGCCATCAGGAGACTGAGGCTTAGGAAGGTAAAGTCCCTGGCCCCGTCTTACATGTCTAGAAAGAAGTAACATGGACTCTATCTCATGTTCTAATTCAGGCATGCCCACCATCACCCTCCATTTCTCCCCAGGTTCCCTCCCAATCTGCCGTCATAACACTGAGCAGGCAGTTGATACCCCATCAGATGACCCCAGAATCTGGCATTGGAAGACCTGTGATCCTAGGATGTTTTGCCTCTTTTTAGTACATGACCCAAGTGTCAGGCTGTTCCTTCGTCCCTGATTGATAAAATGGGGAAATTAGACTTACTGCAAAGGATAGCATCAAATCCATTTTTTAAGCAGAGTACTTGGTATATAATAGGTGCTCAATTAAGGTTTGTGGAGTCTGACTCTCGTGTGACTTGATTCTGTCAGGAAAATACATGAGTCTATTTTATATAGCTTCTCGTTAAGCAGCAGCTTGATAACATCTCAATTCATCTTTAACTGCAACTTAATAAAGTCTTAGTATGTCTTTGAGAACATAATTTTCTACTTCACTCTTATCTCGCACATAGACACCAAAGCATCTGCTTCCACATTTAGACCTCACATTCTCAGCCAGAAGTGCATACATATGTTAGGAAGATGAAACACAAGCCCCCACAGTGGGAACTCAGGGACATGTTGTCAGTGCGCCTGCCCGTAATTACATTTACCCACACTTATTTCCTGCTCCAGCCTCTTTGGTCACACAGTGTTCTTGTTCTTGGTTGCGTGGAGCTCCTTCCAGCGTCAAGCCCACAGCACTTCACTGTGCCCACTTCGAGAAGGAGATGAAGGAGATGGTGTTGCCAGCAGTGTAGCTGGAATGGGAAGATACATTGCACAGGGCGACAGAAAGAGAGACAACGGTCAAGGAGAGAGAGGAGGTGCAGTGCACCGGGACAACCTTGGCTTCCCGGAGGTGAGGGGCTTCTCTGAACTCAATGGAGTGGGGTGCACCTGCATGCTATGAGAACATGCCTAAGCTTTGTGACACTGGAAACAGCCCCACAGAACTGCACATCTCAGGACCTTTGCACATGTACTTTTGAAATGTTCTCACTCCAGGCTAGGCAGCTGGTGTCTTCTCCTCCAAAGCCTCTCTGCCTTTTCTATTTAAAGCAGTCATTACCAGGGCTCCTGGGTGGCTCAGTCGATAAGCGTCTGCCTTCGGCTCGGGCCATGGTCCCAGGGTCCTGGGATCAAGCCCCACGTCGAGCCCCACGTCGAGCCCCGCATCGAGCCTGCATTGGGCTCCCTGCTCAGTGGGAAGCCTGCTTCTCCCTTTCCCACTCCCCCTGCTTGTGTTTGCTCTCTCGCTGTGTCAAATAAAAATAAAATCTTTAAAACAAAAATAAAATAAAGCACTTGTTACCAGTTTCATGACATGGTGTCAACTTCATGACACCTTACCATGATTTGAAATTAAATTGTTTATTGAATTACTTGTTTTCTGATTTGTCATCCCCTTCTAGAGTGCAAGCTTCTTACTGCTATCTCCCCAATGCCCAGATTGGCTCAGTGTATAGTAATGAAATGAGTGACTATTATCAGTGACAGTTTATCCCCTTTTAGGCTGTTCATTTCCTCCTTATTCTAGGAGATCTCTGCTTCAATATCCCATTTTTATTCAAAACCGACTGTCAAAAATTGAGCTACAAACCCTCCTTTTGCTTCCTAAAAGAACCAAGATATAGCCTATTTCACAGCTTTTGCGTGGTGTTTCCTCTGTCTAGAACATCAACCACCTCAACTCCCTCCTTCTCCCGCCACATTCTTTGCCATTAGGCTGGCTAGCTGCTCCTCATCCGAATGCGATGTCATTCCCCGGAAAGGATTCCCCTCATCACCCCAGTCAATCAATCCCTCATTATTTTCTACCAGAAAAATATAGATTTTCTTTTCTTTTTTCATATAACATATTAATTACAGATGCACAGCATAATGATTCAATATTTGCACATATTGTGAAATGAAAACGATGATAAGTCTAATTAACATTCATCACCCCATATTAGTCACAAATTTTTTGTAACAAAGGGCACCAACTTCCAGTTATAAAAGTAAGAAGTCCTTGTGATGTCATGTATAGCATGATGACTATAGTTAATACCACTGTATAATGTATTTATAATTGCATTGTATATTCACAAGTTGCAAAGAGAGTAGATCTTAGAAGTTTTCATCACAAGGAAGAAGTTGAATTTCTTTTGCTTGTTTTTGTTTTGAATTCAATTACTAATTTGTTTCTTATCTATTCTAAGTCTCATTAGGGCATAGACTGTGACTATTTTATTTTCTAGTGCATGCCTAGGACATAACACAATGCCTAAAACAGAGTGGGTACCAAGTGAATTGTTGAAGGAATGAATGAGTGATTTTAAGTGAGTCGCTCACATGTGGATTAGGAGCCAAATCTTCCATACAGATTTATTAATTGCTGTAGCTCCTTACCTCTTTTAATTTCTCTGTAAACTCTCCCTCGGCTAAAGGACAAGATAAAATTCTACTTTGTCCATGAGGCTCCTCTGCACAGTCCAACCACGGTCACCTTTCCTTTTGCCAGTCTAATTCATTTCGCTCACCAACTGTTGCCAGGGGCTGTGAGAGATACGAAGATGCATCAGCTATGGCTCCTGACCTTAAAGGGGTTTGAATATTTATCACATACTTTTGGATTTGACTGTAATTCATAAACATCAAATGACTAAATGGATGGGTTTAATTATAGCTTTGTTGACCTCTCAACTCATTTTTCATATTTAACACAACACATAACTTCTTCCCATAATCTTACTGGGAAGGCCCAAGAAAGATCATCTTTCCAGAAGAGAGAGTGATCTATTCTCAGGGCAGAGCTGATACTGAGAAATGAAGTAGCTTCCCAGCATCTCCTGAGTATGGTTTGCACTCCACTTACTTATTATATTTAAATTAACTTCCAGGAAAC